TTTTTTTTTTTTTTTTTTTTTTTTTTTTTTTTTTTTTTTTTTTTTTTTTTTTTTTCTCTCTCTCTCTCTCTCTCTCCACAGAGCCAAACTAAGATATATAGATTGCATAACGATGCACACAATTTAGATGAATATAAAAATGAATATTGGCTAAAGGTTTTGATGACTTCAGATACTCTGCAGAAAGTACTAGATATTCAGTACGTAGATATTCAGTAAGTGATCCTACGATTGGGCTTGAGTATTCTAACTTAAAAACACCATATTCTAGCCTAAGTCTAAGAAAATAATTATGTACAACTACCTTATATATGTGTCATGGTCCTCAATTACAATGCAATCATCACCAGTAGAGGGATACTTTTACTTGAAATAGAAGTACCATTGGGCTTAGTATTTTAAAAAATATTCAGTAAGTGATCCTACGATTGGGGTTCTAGGTAAACACACACAATTATGAGTATGACCTATCGTATCGATCTATATTCCTTAGGCGGTTATCCTAAACAGGCTAATTGAATGCGTATTTACTGTCCTAAACATGGTCTACACGTGCGAGTATGGACAATTGATCTTTGTGAAGCTAACTCGACAATTGATTTTCAAGCTGGATTGATTTTGAACTTCAGCTTTCCACTTCTTGAAAGTGGCAAACACATTTGACTCATGTTTCAGGAAATAAACCATTAAGTGATGGAACTCGAGATGATCCCTAAACGTCTGTATGCACTATTTCCAACCGCACTTTCTTCAATTCTCTAGTAGCTTTTGTGAAGCTAATTCGTCTTTGTTTGCCCATAACGCAACTCTCACAAAGGCTTGTATCAACAGATTTTAGGCCTTCTAAAACTCATTTCACAGCCAACATCTTCATTCCTTTGACACTCATATGTTCAAGACTATTGTGTCATAAACTTGAATGAGAAGCACTCTCTCAGCAACCATGTTTATACACCCTACAGAGGTGTATAGAGTTCCAGATTTTGTGCCACGTGCTAATACCATGGCACCCTTCACAATCTTTCAGGAACTCTTCCCAAACTCTGATGCATAACTTGTGTTATCCAACTGACTAATAGCTATCTAGTGGAGTTCGTATGCTTACATCCCCTTCCCTTCAATCTCCAAGGATTTATTGTCACCAACATACACCTTCCCCAAAATTTTTTGATTTAAAATTTCGAAACAATTTCTTACTTGGAGATGAGTGAACGATGCACCTGAATCCAAAATCTAGGATTCAATCGGGCTGTCCACACTAAGAATTAAAGCATCGTCTTCGGTTGAATTTACAAAATCATCATCATCTCTAGATTTGCAATTCTACTTTCTCTCTAGTTTTTACATATTTTACAACACCTTTAATAAATTCAATGTTGTCTTCTCCTTAACAATGTTGAATGCCACGTTTCTGGACAGTGTCAATTGGATCAATGTTAAAGCTTGTCGATCCTTGAGCTTCCTAGTCATGTATCCATCTCCATCCTTAACAGGGGTTCGTGAAGATTTTTCTAGTACAGATAATTTTCAATCTACATCTTCCAGAAACCAAAATCAAATCCATCGAACTTCTCAATTCCAATCTTTGAACTTTCCATCTTTACAGATCGTGGTGAATCTTTGCTTAGCTCTAATACCAGTTATTAGGATCGCACAACAACACACGATCTAGATGAACACAAAGAATAAGAGAGAGAAAATACAAAAAAGAACATTTAACTAAAGGTTTATATTGATGACTTCATATACATACATACTGTAATATAACCAAATGCATGAAAGTACGTTTTCAAATCTACCGAAAGGTATATATGGTTCATAATTTTAGCCGATATAATCATTCACCGTATATAACTAACTATCTACCGTATATATCTCTCCCCAAGAAAGAATATATACTAATGCGATGGGAATAACACGAAAAATATATACAATACTAATAGCATAGAATCCAAAACTTAATAAACAATAACACTTTTGAAACATAAATCTCTAAAACAATAAGTGAACACCAAAGTTTCCCAATTTTAAAATGAAATAATGCATTGAATTCAGGCCAATATTTACCAAAACATGAAATAGTTACATAGGATGTGTTATGATCCTTTGTAAAACCACTGTCCTAGCCCTTCTGATGTCTCTGCTGCATGTATCAGCATGTACCCCCAAGTCCTCCACATTCTTCATGAACTTCCCCAATGTCTTCTTCATCTCTTCCACCCCAAGCTTCACGCCAGCTTCCTCCTCTTCCATCGCTAAATCTGCTTTCTCAAACACTGATTCCATCTCCACTCTCAGCTTCTCAATAAGCACTCTTATGTTCTCCATGTCCTTAATGGCTACATATGTTCCCACTTGCATTGAGCTCATCACCTCCTTTTGCCCCCTCACTGCCACCTCGTAGTTCTTCCATAGCGAGTCGATCCATTTCCCCATCGACCCCACCGGAATCGATGAAGCTGCTGCCATCGCTGCTGCAACCGGCGGAGCAGCCACCGCAGCTGCCACAATTGAGCATATCAAAACAGTGGCAAAAGTGGCTACAAAGATTATGCTGGATACCTTCCTCCAAGAACTCAATGACTTGAGCTTCTTGTCAAGCTTGTTCTTCCTAATCTGTAGTTTCTCAAGCAATCCAATTTGTTGCCTAAAAACAGAGTTGAATATTTGGAAGAACTCATCTGTAAAAGGGTCACCAACAGCCTTGAAATTCTTCAACTCTTGTAGAGTTTTGACATATCCATTTCCACCTTCAAAGTGTTGAATCGCCATTGAAACAAGAAGATGGCTATCACGAGCTCTTTTCAAACACTTCTCTAGCTCAGTACAGAAATCCAAAGACTGCAAACTATTCTCAAAATACTCCTCAACCAATTCAAACAACTCATGATTCTTCCATATATCTTTCTTGCAACCCAAAATTACCTTAACAACTTCTTGATTCATTTCCAACAAACACTCTGTAATTTCTTTAAGAGAATCAAAGGAAAGCGCTCTAACCTCAACGCCAACGGCGATTGTGTTGATGGCTTGATGGGTTCGAGATTGGAGCATGGAATCGAACGATTGTAGATCGGCATCGGCCTTGCAAGCTGCCTCATAAGAACTCAGCTCTGTTTTGTAAGCC